ATCGTACTTTACGTCGAGCGCAAATCCATCAAGGTAAGGAAGAATCGTGTTTCGATAATCCGAGGTTAATATATACGTGTAGCAGAACTGAAGAGATTTCCAAACGAAAAGGCAAACTATTCTCGGCACGCTTTGGGATTTAAAGCAAACGCCGGCTCTTGCACCACTCATCTTGTTGAACCGGTCTTTGAATATCGCCAAACACGCGTAAGAAACTTTGTTTTCGTCGTCGTTGTTGGCTGAAAGAGTGGCGGAGCTCATGGAGACAATATCTCCGGTGAAGAATTTTGCCGCCGGAGTGCCGTCTCTTGATTCTCCGGTGAAGGCGTCGAAGAAGCTGTGGTCAATTAAGATGGCCATGCCTGCTACATTTGTCAACACCGAAAGCTACATAAAAAGAAAGAAATTATATTATATTAATCAAGAGCTAAAATATCAAAAAGAAGAAGAAGAAAAAAAAAACAGATTTTTGGCATAAATATTGAGTTTATTGCATTTAGTACCCCTATATTATATCGAATTGCTAAATATTGCCCCGTGTTATTTTTTGTTGTCAAAAACCACCCTATGATTTAGTTTTTTTTATCAGTTAGTAACCATATTTAGGGGTTGTGTGCTAACAAAAATTGATTAGTAGGGGTGAATTTTGCAAATAAAATAACATGGGATGGTATTTTAGCAAATTCGATATAAGGCAAGGATATTAATTAGCAATAAAGCTTATTATTATTATTACTTACAAGAGCATCAATTAAAAGTTGTTTGTTCTCATGAGTCCTCTTCATCCATGCACCATACCATACAATCTACAAATTAAATCATATATAATATGATCACAACATAAGAAAGATACTAAATTATTAAACATTTAATTAAAAATATATATATATATATAAATGGAGAGAAGAAATTAAACAAAATTAAAATATCTTAATTACCATGTTGCCATGAATACTTCTGAGAATGGAACTATGAACACAGCCAAGGGTCTGAGTGTACGAAGAGAATTGTTTCAGAGCGTGTAATAAATCGTCCACGTATACAACGGTCGGTCTGAATACGAAGAAACTTATATCCAGATTCCTGCTGTTAAACGGAACATAACATGATGCCATATCTTTTTTTTTTTTTTTTCTTTCTCAGAGTTATTCTTTGGTCTGTGTGTTAATATATATGCATGTATTTCAAGAAAAGAAAGATGGAGGGGAAAAATTGAATTTCAAGAAAAAAGGGGTAGTATGGTCAAAAGTCATGTAGCAATTGGATTAGTCTGAGGTGATTGGCTTCTTTTTTGGACCTAAATAATAAACAATTGATGGTAATTGAGTTGAACAGACATCTAGAGGTCTTTTATGTTGACTATATTAGGGCCAGTTACCAAATATGTTGACTTTTTTTTCATTCTAGAAGGATTGGTTACAACTTTGAAAGAAGGGTAAATAACACTTAGCCCCCTTTGGTTTGAGTTTTATGCACATGACCCCATGTACTTTTAATATGATCATGCTTATTAGGAGGGAATTTTTGAAAGTATAAGGGGTTATGTGCTATATTGAAAATACATGGGGGTTATGTGCACAAAAGTTCAAACCATAGGGGGTAAGTGCTATTTACCCTTGAAAGAATAAATAAATAATTGAACCCAAATATTTTTCACAAAATCATTAAAGAACCAAATATTTTTTATTCTAATTTCATGATTGGCAAAACACCAGTTGTCTATCTGCAAAACCAATTTTCTCCAATAAAATAAAGTAAAGAATGAAACTTGGGCAATAGAGTAGTAATACTAAAAACCAATTTTGACAGAATACAAGCTGATTTAGACATGCATTAATCAAACATCATGAAATAAACAAACATCAAAGGGAGGATTTGTAACATAACATAGTAAAATAGCAAGGATTAGGGAATAAAACTTGGGAAACTATATTCCCCTTTTCAATAATGGGGAAGAAGAACCAATAAATATCAACTGTTTACAAATATAGCCCATGTTTTTAACCTGCAGAGACAAGCTTATAATCAGTTCTCTATTCAAACAAAGAGAACAAAGTTTAGCAAATACTTAGTTGCAATAGAATTTACCAAGAGGGACCTTGTAATAAAAAGGTAGCTTTTGGTTTAAACTCAAAACCTTACCTCATCATCAAAGGTCTACAGAAATTCGCAGCCCGTCATACGCAAGCTCAACTGGTATTCCTTCCCTGGAATCAACATACAAAAACACGTATAAATTTCAGATTACTGGCTATTAAAGCAACGTGGCATAGTGCACATCGGAAAGGACAAAAAGGAAACGCCACGTAGGATTTTTTTCGTGATTCACCTTAACAAAAAGATTCTAAAAGAGAAGTGCGATAAGCAATACCTTTGGGACCAGTCCTTGAGAAATTCGTTGTCTTTGTGGTGATCAAACTCATGTGTCATTCCGATAAGCAAAGCTCTCTTTGGGCATATCCTCTTCACAGCATCAAGAGTCTGCAGATGGAAAACTTGACAATGTAATAAATAATAAAAATAGCGTTTGCCAAGAACAAAAACGATATTCAAGAAATTGTGTAAAAGAGGAAAACCTGAGGGAAGCAGAAGTGAGTGTTGTGGGATCCTTTCTGCATGGACGAGCACATTGAAAAGCAACATATTAGTTAGTAAAGAAGGGGAGAACGGCTTCTCTACTATGCTTAGCGAATTTAGTCGGTATAAACATAAACAGGAAATAATGAAGATCTTAAAAGTAGATAAAAAGTCTAAGTGTATAGTAGCTAACCTTGTATAGTGTGTCCAAAATAAGGAGATCTAACTGTTGACAACCATCTTTCGAAATATCTACAAAAGAGGAGATATATATCCTTACAAGGCTCAAATTTGTAGCTATATTACAAAAAAAAAAAAGAAATAAGCTAATTATCCGATGCTCCTTTGACCTTTCCAATCTTTAGGCTCCCAATGCTTTTTTGTTTATTCAATCATTCTGCAGTATATAAATTATAGTGAACAGTTGTTTCATTTGTCCGTAACCCTAAAACTGGAAGTTCTTCTTTGTGCTTATTATGCCTTAAAATATTTATCCGTTACAGAATAAGATTAGGGCAGCTAACTTAAAATCATAAAAATAAAAAATAAAAATAGGATTGCAGCCCATGGTGCATATTTTACAGGTTTTTGTGAGACAAGGAGAGAATGACAGTGCTTACAGTTTTCAGTGGGTTCAAGAAATCGTGAAATGTCTGATATATACGCTACTTTATATCTTTCGCCAAACTGAAAACCCAAGCATACATAGTCTTCGCCATGCATCACCTGTTAAGAACATAAAAACATGAGAATGCATACGAAAGACTTCTTAAATATCTGTAAATAAAATAAAATATAAAAAGTACGAGGCGAAACTTACCGGCAAGGGAACAATTCGTAGCCCAGATACCACAAATGGCTTATTGCAATCGTTCTCTATAATTTTCCAGTCAAGTTGTGCTACACGTCTAATTTCCTGGCCAGGCTTGAGTTTTTTCTGAACCAAGTATGGGAATTTCACTGCAATGCTGTTCAAAAACAAACGTTTCAAGGTTTAATCAACAACTCTAGTACATGCCATCAATTGAGTTGCAATATCCATGTCAAGAGTATAGATACAACAGAATCACAAAAAAATGGGCAAAACAAAATCGTATAACTGATATCTGTATGTATATGCAAAGTACCTCTCCATTGCATATTCGGTGAGGTAAATGGGAGTTGGCTCGATGTCATTTGTTGGACTAAAAGGTTGCACAGTGCGTACATCATCCAAACCGAGAACAGCATCGGCATGTTCATGAGTTAATATAATCTGGACAAGTTGTTAGCAAACTACATCACATCATTCTACTTTTAAATTCGATAATCGTCATTCGCCAATTGAAAAAATAAAAATTGAAACTAAAGCAATGGTTGTTAATTTTCGTGTAATTGGAAACACGATTACACTCACAGTAATGTTCTCTTTTACATTTCTATTATCAAGGCAAAGTTGAACTTAATTGAGGAATACAAAAACTCACTGAATCTACGTGCGGAATTTTATGAGCGGTGAACCATCGGAAGTACGAACAGTGAGCTGCACTGTCCCGCCGAACCCC